GTTCTTTAACAAGTGATGTTGTTTCTTTTGCACTTCTTGGAGGGAGACATGCTGACTTGTCGCCACTCACTTGAATAGTTCTTGAAACTGTTTGAGGTCATCAATCGCTACTGTATCTGCTGGAATAACTGCATCGTCCTGTTGGGCACTTAGGTCATCAGGGTATGTGATGCTTATTGATTGAATATCGGATTCATTGTCCGAAATTCATTCCTCCTCCTCCTCCATGTGTGTTGCAGGAGGTAGGGGCTGTGGATGAGGCAGACTCCTTCGAGATGGTGTGGAGTGGGCTGAGGACCGGTGTCTGTATGGGTCCCAATGATCCCAGGGCCCCCATTGGGGTGGGTAAGGTGGGGGTGGGTAAGACCAATAAGGGTGCGATGGGCTTTGTTGTGGTCCAGCCCTACGATAGTAGAAGCGAGACCTCCTTGGCGACGTGTGTCACAAAGAATATGTCGTATGTCGGTCATCATCCAGTAAGGTAGCGTCTTGCAAGGACACTGGAGACATAGATCTGGGAGGGGAATGCCTTGCCAAGGATCTCCCAGGTGAGCAGTCAGTGGGAGGCAGGCATGAATGCTGCTGCCTGCTGTGAGTGTCAGACGCTGCCTTAGAGTGTTCTGTAGCAGACTCCTGAGGATGCCTCTCGCTGTCTGCTGCCGGCACCGGTGTACAGATCTGGTTTACAGTTGCAGCCGGTGCTGGCTGTGTATGGAGTTTCTTTTGGTGCGGTGCTGACGGTTTGAGCGGCACCGTCCCTTTAAGCTGAGCCGGAGTTTTTTGCAGTGCCGGGGCTTGAAGCAGTGCCAGGGCTTGCAGCGGCACCGCTGTTTGAAGCGGCGCCGGCTTTTCTTTCCGCCCCGGGTGGTCAGTGGGACGGCTCGGAGGCAGCACGCACCGGTCCCGGTGCCGAACGGGAGGATCTTCCCTCTGCTTTGCTAGCAGGGGTCCTCAGACTTACTTGCCCCTTTCCCTGTGTCTTTGGGGAGGAAGAAGGCAGGAGAGAGCACGACGGTGAGGCTCTCTGCCTTGTAGTTTTTGGCGGCGGGGGGGTTTCATGCTGCGGTTCCCCCTGCTCTGTAGGCTGCAGAGCCTTTTCAAACAAAATCATCCTCAGGCAGAGCTCTCTGTCCTTTCTAGCTCTCGCCGTGAGGGAAGCACAATGTGTGCAGCTGTGGGGTGAGTGAGTTTCCCCCAAGCACTGAATACATTTTGTATGGCCGTCAGGAGGAGGCAGACATATTTTGGGAGCTTCTTATTTCTTTAAACTGTTGGTATTTTCAGTGTTTTATTTATTTGTGACTGTTGTTATAGTCCTTTCCTTTCCTTTCCTTTTATGTGGTTTATATGTTTTTCCAGCTGAGGAGCCAAGAGAGAGAGAGAGCCCCGGTTCACCGGGACTCCAGTCTGAGGTGAGTTTCAGTCCCCAAGGGGAGATTTTGTTGTCAGTTTCGTTCTTCTTATAAAAAATTGTTGTTATTATTTTAAGAGAGAAAACAAGGAAAACTAACTTGGAGTATAACAGGGGGAAAAACTGTGGTAACCTAACTAATGGAAATACAGTCTGAGAGACTGAGAGGGAGCTCCTGCTCGCTCCGTCTGTTGACGAGGGCGGTTGAAGAGGAACTGAAAGGGAGGGGGTTGAGCTGCGCGCTGCAGAGGGCGGGAAGGGCTCAAGACGCCTTCTGAGCATGCGCGGCTCAACAGGGGAATCTGTTTTGCAAAGCTCCGATCTGCGGCTCAGGGCGACCCTTCACCTAGAGTGGAGCACCCATGGGACACTACTCGAAGAAGAATCATCATTTTTGACAACCTCTGATGTTTAGCATTTCTGCTCCCTGGTATGTCTGAATCTATGCTCTTAACAAAACAAAGATCCTTGACTGATTCTTTGGGAGGTATAAACATGGCTTTTCCCTGCACCTTCCCCTCCTTCTCCCTCATCCCTCATTTCTACCCTATGAGAACAAAATTAATTTTAAAATTATGAGTCAAGAAGTGAACTTTTCATTAACTGTGTGATTGATAAAATATTCTGCTTGGTCCATTGGCTCCAAGTGAAGTAAAAAGGTTTGAAGCATGCAAGGCTGAACTAAAGCACAGAATATGAAAATGGGAATTCAAAGGGATAAAAAAAATCTCTTAACAAAGAGCTCCTCACAAGTGCTTTGATTTTTATGTTTTCTGATTATAAAGCATGAAGTTTTCCAGTGACCTGATAACCCAAGAACAAAATTAAATCAGTAGCCATTGATTCTATAAACTTATGTATGCCAAAGAGCTTCATCTGAGATGTATCTTAGCTAGATAAAGGGTTCAGCCAATCTTGGTCTCACAGAATGAAGACGGTTCTGAGACTGGTCTCTTATACTGAGGAAGCAGATCTGCCAGCTACTGTGAAAGAAATCAAGTCCTTATTAGTAAACATGCATGCTTATTAGTTTTGAGTTATCTTTCACTGTCTCTTGTAACAAAGCTTTCCAATAGCATGGACAATGTATTATATCTAGTAAAGAGATTTCTTACAATAATTTTGTTTAATGTATCCTGTGCTATATTATGTTTGCCTTTGTGAATGCTCTCAATAAATATTCTAATTGGAAACAGGTGTTTGGACTGCATTAGCTAAGGAGAGAGAGTATGCATCCGGGTGTAAATATTTATAGTACAGGAAGGCTTCTAATCTGTACTTACTCCCCATGAAAATAGTTGTATTAATAAAAATAACCATTATTAGGTACATAACTATTATTAGATATTAGACTGTGATGAACAGGTGCTGATACTGAAACTCATGAACACTCAGAAAATTTGGATATATTTTCATCCTCTTGGGAAAAGTGAAGCACAAAGAGCAAGAGACATGTCTGAGGCTACTAAGGGAGTCGTTAGAATTGGGATTGGAACTCCTGGCTCTTGACCCAATATTCCAAAACACACAATTTTAAATTTATCCCAGTGAAAGCCAGATGAGTTCAGAGGTCATAGCAACAAACGTGATATGTAAATATTAGTATAAAGGCTTCCAAAATGTAATAAGGAAGGGTTATTTTAGCCATAAAAATGGAACAAGTTAAAAAGAATCTCAGAATTCCCCAAAGAAATGTCAAATTACAAAAAAAAAGCTGTGTTTTTTTTTTTTTTTTTTGTAAACCCATTGGTAAAGGGAGGCTACAACTGGATTGTTTTATGAGAGAAGGCAATGTGATCTTCTGGATAAGGCATTGAGTGTAAGTTAGAAGATCTCTTCTACTCCTGGCTTTGCCAGTGACCTGTTACTTTAGTTTGGACAAGACTCTGTGCTTCAGTTTCCCCTTTCACCCTTTGTCTATTAAGACTGCAAAATCCCTTGCTACACAGCAAGGCTAAAGTGGAATTAAACTATGCAACTTGAGCTTTTGGCGCTGTCAACACAGCAGGAAGTCCAAGGAAGAACACTCTTCCTTCGACTTTCCTTACTCCTCGTGAAATGAGGGTTACAGGAGTCAGAGTAAGAAGTCCTCCAGCTCAACATTATTTCAAAATAATGGCTTGCAGTGTAGACATGCTCTTTGTTATTTCGGAATAATGTCAGTTAATCCGAAATAACGCTGCTGTGTAGACATAGCTCCTGTGGCCAGGGATTGTCTCCGTGGCTGAAGTGGCTAGCACACTGAAATGCCAATCTCAGCTGTGGCCTTTAGATGGACTCTCCCTTTGGCAATAAACATCAACGGGACAACCCCTGATGCTTTATGGTTTGGCACTGGGTCCTATTGTAACATAACATTGAGTGCAAAGTCAGGCCCTGAATTGTGAAAGAAATCTAGAATGTGGTAGGCTTGATAGTTATTTGACATCTATTTTTATAGTGCAGGAAAACTGAGAAGTGCAAAGATCTAAGCTTTCAAATACATAACCAATAGAATTTCATCTTACGCCAACATACTGAGTAAGCTGAAGAGTCCCAAGTTCATATATACACACACACATAACTTCTTTTTTCCAGTAAATTATTAAGTGGTATGTTACAAAGTTCTTTACTTCCAGATCAAATTGCAACATACTTGGAAAACAATAAGAAGAACACCAGATTTGAGAAGCAGCACAAAACATACCAGGTAACTATATACTAATTTAATGTCAGTTGTGGGGATATTATTGGGAATTAATAAGAGATCACCTTGAAGAGAAATATCATGACATGACAACATAGGTAATAGTTTTGAGAAGGAAAGGTCATGCTTGACTACTTTATTTATGTAGTAAATCTGCTTTATAAGATTTCAGAGCAGATTATCAACATGGTACTAATGGTCACCTTTTAATAGTGTAATGCAAAGAGGTAACTGTGAAACAAAAACTATTTTAAGCCCTTACAGTGGTAGCTTTTCTAGCTGGGAAGCTTGCCAGGTAGGTATCTCTAAAGATCATTTTTGGGAGCTGTCTTTTTTCTATTGTAAGCTTCATAAATGCTTTTTTAACCAAATACACATTGGATTTGAGGAGTTAGTATGAATCTGCTTTCCCAAAGCATGTTTTTAAATGATAGAATATTGTTTTAGGATGGGTCTATAAAGGGTTTTTGGTTGTGGGGGTTGATTTATTACAGGTTGAACCCTGTTAAATCTGGGACTCTCTGGTCTGGCAACATCTGTGGTCCAGTTAGCCCAGTCTCTGCTGAGCCCTGTCAAGGCGCAGCAGCAGTGGGGCAGGTCTGGAGCACAGTACCAGGGGAGCGCAGCAGCAGCAGGACTGCCAGCAGCCGGTAAGCCTCATGCCCGGGAAGCCCTGGCAGGGCACAGCAGCAGGGTGGCAGCAGAGCTTAGTCTCTGAGAAACTTCAGCCAGGTGGGGCAGAAGCAGGGCCATGGGGCTGGGGGAGCTCCATCCCCAGAAAGACCCAGCCTGCTGGTGGCAAAGCCCAAGCTCTGTAGCAGCAGGGCTGGAGCCCAGTGTCAGGGGGACTGGAGCGGAGCCAACCAGAGGGAGGAGCTGTATCCTGGGAGGCTGGTGACAGTGGAACTTCCATGATCCAGCAAATTCCCTCATTTGGAACCAGTCAGGTCTTGAGGTTGCTGGACTGGGGAGGTCCAACCTGTACCAGTATAGTTAAATTGGTATATCCCTTAGGTGAGGATGATGTTCTATGATAATGATTTTTTAGAATAAATTTGTAGGAATACACTACACTGCACTACACACTATACTAGTGTGAATTTGGGGGCGAACCCATATTACTTTACCCTAGTTTAACTGCATCTATACTAGGTACGGTGACCATACTGCCCTTTTTTTCTGGGACAGTCCCGGATGTAAGGGTTCTGTCCTGGTGTCCTGATAAAGGCGGCAAATGTCCCGGAAAACCCATTGGGATCCGGCTACAAACAGAACCACCATTTCCCCCCCTCTCCCGGGACACCCTCACAGACACCCAGCACTAGCGTGGCGCAGCAGCAACGCCCCGCATCCATCCAGCATGTAAGCGTCTCCCTTGCTGCTTTGCGCAGGCATCCAGGGCTGATGCCGGTGGCGCGCAGTATCCTGAGCACCAAGCTCCCCTGCAGCATGCACAGCCATCCGGCATGAACCCCCCCCAATGGCCCTTCCCTCCCGCTGCGGGACTGCCTCTGCCGTGTGCAGCCTCCAGCTCGGCCTCCTCCATCCACAGTCTGCCGCCGCTGTTGCAGGGGGGTGAGGGGGATAAACACGGAAAGCCGCTCCTGGGAGCTGTCGCCGGAGTCCCGGCAGAGCCCGCACAGAGCCAGGCTGGAGCGCTGCAGAGCGGGGAGCGTTCGGGCTCTGCCGGTGCGCTCTGTGCACAGCCCTTTCTCCCCCTGCCCTTTCCTCCCTGCTGGGGGAGCGGCAGTGCACGGACCCACTCACCCAGCCACGCTCCACAAGCTGGGTCGGGGGGGGGGGAGGCTTCCCCCTCACCCCCATATGCCTGCTAATGTGAGCCAAAGCTGGTGCGGGGACTGCAGTAAAATTAGCACCGTGGGTGGCCCAGCTCCAGGCCCGGCTGCGAGGACTTCTGGGGCCCAACGACAGACTCCAGTCCCACAAACTGGAAGGCAGAAGGTAGGGGAGGGGCAGGGGGAAAACTAGGGGGAAGGGAGGTGGGAGAGGAAGGGGCTTGTGCTGAGGGGAGGGGGGCAGGGCAGGAGAAGAAAGGGGAAGGCACCAAGGGTCAGGGTGGAGGAGAGACAAATGCCAGGGGGCCAAGTGGAGACATTGAGGAAAAGGGCAGGAGGAGGGAGGGGGAGGTGTCAGTGGGGGTGGGAAGGTGGAGGGGATAGGGTGATGCTGGGAAAGGAGAAGGGAAGGGCATTGGGGGCAAGAGGAAGCAAGGGGAGGGGGAGGTGCTGGGAGAAGGGTTGAAAGGAGGGGGAGGAAGGTGGGGTTGGAGCAAGTCATGTATGAGGGCACAGAGGAGCATGAGAGGAAGGTGTCAGTGGGGGTGGGAAGGTGGAGGGAACAGGGTGATGCTGGGAGAGGAGAGGGGAGGGGTATTGGGGGGATTGGGAGGTGCTGGGAGAAGGGTTGAAAGGGGGGTGGGCATGAGGAAGGCAGGGATGGAGCAAGTCGTGTGAGGGCACAGGGGCATGAGGGGAACTGGGGCAGAGGGTGGTGAAGAGATGAGCATCAGGTAAAAAGAAGGTAAGGGGAGCAAGGGCAGTGAGGGAAGGAGGAGGCACCAGGAGGGTGCAGGGGGAAGATGCAGGTGCCAGGGAATTCTGGGAGTGAAGAAGAAGGGCAGACACCTGGAGGAGAGGGACCAGAAACATAGGAGAGCGGGATGGCGGGTGTGCAGAGGTAGATGTTAGGAGAGGGGATGAGGAGGGGTAGCTCACATGATCAGAGTGGGGCTACTGGAGGAGTGGGCAGGGGGAGAGAAGGGCTGGTGCAGGGATGCAGATCCCACGAGGGCTGAGGGCATTGAGAAGGGCAGGAGTCAGGACAGCAGAGGAGGGTGAGGGGTGGGGGGACAGCAGGCACCAGGAGAGCTGATGGAACAAGGGAAGGAGACATGGCAGCAGAGAGAAAAGGTAAAGGTTTATAAGATATTTATTAATAACTTGGGTGCCACAGTGGCACATCCAAACAAGCCACATGAACTCAGGACTGGTGCACAACACAAAATTCATTCCGTTCTTGGAACGAAACTCTTAGGGTATGTCTAGACTGCATCCCTCTGTTGACAGAGGGATGCAGATTAGGCAGGTTGACATTGCAAATGAAGCAGGGATTTAAATATCCCGCATTTAATTTGTATAAAAATCGCCACCATTGTTGCTGACTCAGCACTTTGTCTGCAAAAAGTTGCAGTCTAGAGGGGGATCTGTTGAGAAAGAAAGCCTTTTTCCACAGATCCCTTATGCCTCCTGCAAACGGGAGTGGTTGAGCACTAACACCCAGGGGAGTCATTGCTTCCCCTTGGTCTTTTTGCTGGCAGTCCTTTTGTGCCAGCAGCCTTCTGGAACCAGGTAAGCATGAGGTCGAGGGGCTGGGGTGTTGGGAGGTGCTGAGTGTTTGTAGGGTTGCCAAGTGCCCGGCATTTTCGCCGGACATCGTAGGTGTCCGGTATTTTCTGACTTTTTTTACTGGACAAGAGGCAAAAATACCAGACTGTCCAGATGAATACTGGACACCTGGCAACCCTAGGAACACGTCCACCAGACCACAGTAGGAAGTAGACCAGGATAGGGAGTTTATCCAGAGCGTTCAGCATGTTGTGGCAGGATTCCTTGCTGAGGGAGGCAGTAGCCTCAGCCACACCTACAGAGTAACCCACTGGAGTTGGAGGGCGTAGGTACCTCCACTCCCTCCGTAGCTGGCTCGATGGAGTCAAATTTGCCTACAGGCCTGTAAAGTAGTCTGAAAGGCCATATTAACCGTACTATAAAGACTGTGTATGGAGGGGGGAACACGTGTTCAGACTCCAACAGGTAGGCCGCAAGGGGATGAAGCTTGAGGGGCCTCTTATAGTAGGTTGCCCCTCGACAGGCACATAATTCAATGACAATTTGGGATTCAGTACCTGTAAGATGACTGGCCCACAGTTGTGCCCATCAGTTTATTTGCTATGTTGCATGATTTTGCTTGTCTAGCAAGATGCAGATTATTTGGTTAATCGTGTCGTGAAGAATCTGAAATTTGTATGCAGTGCAGTATCAGACTGTATAAATGGGTTTTGAATTTGTCTTTTTCAGTTTCTGTATCTGCATAGACGGGGCGGCCCGTGAGCCTAGGCGAACTAGGCAGTTGCCCGATGATGACATCATGGCCATTGACGGCCGTGCAGGGGGGTGGGGCGTGCCAATTGCGCCGCCCGCATGCGGTGCCAGCTGCCGCAACCTGCCTCAGGCCATCCTGTGCACAGAAATCCTGTCCATGTCTCTGTCTTCATGGCTTGCAATGACTTACTGCTTATAAACACACTTGCTTTCAGATTGTCTCACTTGTTCACCATATATCACCCTATCTGCTGTTTCCCGTCTAACCAACACCTTTCCCTCTTATGCCACTGTGTCTTACCCACATACTATGAGTAATTAGCCTATCAAAAATCTTTGCACAATTTACATTACTAAGCACATTCAGTTTAAGTACTTGATTTTTTAAGTTTGCTTTATAGCTATCAGGAATTAAGTAGCAGAAGTGTTAATAAGTTTCTTGAAAACAGTTTCACAATTACACTGCATGAACACTTTCAGAATCAGTATACGGAAAAACATTCGCCTCCAACTTCCACATAATAAAATCATAATAAAATCAGTGCACACTGTAAGTATCAGTCCTTATTAGAGTGAAAGGACATTTGGAAGGTACAGGGTGGATAGTGCATAAATCTAATAAAAGTAAGGCTAAATCAAGACTGCAGATATCATAGGCCAATCACAAGACACACATAAGAAAATAACAGATGATGTGCATAATTTGCAAATCTTTATGAGTTACAAAATATGGCTAGATTGAATCCAAAAAATATAAACAACCACTGCTTCCAAGGCAGCTAGATGAAAGGGGAAATGCATCGTGTGTGTGGTAATGCTCACTTAGGGTATTTCTCAAATACAGTTTTGTTGGAGAAATGGCTGTTTTCTGACAAAACTGAAGTT